TTTGCACATAAAATGTTTCACAATTTTGGTGTAACATGCTGCGCGCGCACCCTGCGCACCCTGAATTTCCAACACTGTTACCTACTTTAAATATGAAAGCAGATCTAAGTTTTATATATATATTTGAAAATTCCATCAAGTGAGTCATCTTTATGGTACTAATGAAGTCCAAAGAACAAGGTTCGCTTTGGCTTATTGACTATTGTAATCAGCATAAAGCTGCCTTGTTGAAAAGAATCAACATTTTTAGTGTAAATTTTCATGTGTATTTTAGCCCACTATTGTGAGTTCGAGGAGCAGCTTTATTTTAAATAAAAGGTGCCAAAATATTTATTGAAACTTCAAGAAAATTTTTTATATATATCATTTTTTTAATCTATTAAGAAGTTTATGTGTTATAAATGTTAAAAGAAATTCTTGGCATTCAAGTGAATGTTACATGCACTAATTAAAAAAAAGAGAAAGGATTTGCACACTGGCTGATATATTCTCTTTTTTTTTACATATATATATATTTTAAAAAATTTTTTTAAGAGGCTTATTCTTTGATATTAAAATTTTTTGTTTCAAAAAAATTACATTTGATTTCATATATATATAAAGCTTTTTTTAGGTGGTTTTTCTTGTATAGATGGGTATTCATTTTAGAAAAAAAATATATTTCAAAAATTTCTCTGTCTTTTTATTTGGTTAATATATAAATAAAGAAGAAATCTTGTTAATTCACAATTTACAACCTCAATGAATTTTGAAACAAGCTTTCTTTAAATCATATGCCAAATTATTTATAATACTGTAAAATAGTAAATTATAAATCATGGGAAATTAACGAAGTTGCATGCAAATAAAATCGGAAAAACTGATCAAGTATTCAAACCAGCCCAATTTCATATTTTTATTCATTCCTAGTTGAACTTTCATCTTCATTTCCATTTTCATCAAATCCAAGGCTCAAATTCATAATGTCTTCCATAAACAAAATGTCATTATTTAAACCAAGACTTTCATCCTCCTTTTCATTTTGATCTTCACCCTCCTCTTCTTCACCATACTCAAATAAATCATTATCCTCACTATATTCAAACAAATCATCATCTTCAGCCATTGCTGCAGTAATCTCTTGAATGGTAGTATCAAGTTCTCATCAGTTAAATCACTATTGGGATAGTTAAGCATTGGTAATATAAAATGAGTGGATTTGTGCCATTGATTGAAGTCGTGTAGTATCTATCCTTAGAAAGTAAAGAGTTTGAATTATATGAGTGATAATATGTGTTCTAGAATTTAAATTATAAATGTAAGTAATACCTTGTTCTCCTTTTGTCAATCATCCAATCTAGGACAGAAACACCCTTTCACATGCAACTTGATGAGGAACAACAGCAAATAATTTCAGAGCTAATTGTTGAATAAAATTATTTGGTTGGCGACAAGTTAACCACCAAATTTCAGGTGTATCATGATTATCAATATATTCCATATCATAAGGAGGATAATTTTCTGAATATTTTCGGATTTGTGCCATTAAAATCTTACAACTATTTGTGCCACCACCAAAATCTGTCCAGATTTTCATAGCAAACAAACTCATTTCACGAAAAATAGTGTTTTGAAAACCTTTGGCTAATAATTTTTAAAAAGTGAGAACAATGGAAAGGATATTTCCAATACAGATGAAATAAAATTTAGATATTAACTTGCCTCAATATTTAGGGTGGAAGAAAAAAGTGAGAAGATATGTCATTATGTCTAATTTTTCCCAACGTTTATTAAATATTCTAATACATTGCCTTTTAAAATTTGCATCCAAAGAAGATGGCAGGTTTTTAATGGCAATTACCATCTTCACTAATTCCAAAAAACATGAAGCCATGTTACTTGATTTGGCCTAAATATTTTTAACTGCTCTTTTAGCAGGTGCAAGTACATCCTGAAATTTTTCTACTTCATGCCAAAATTGATGATCTTGGATGATTGCTTTTACAACAGATGAATCATGAAAAATTTCAGGTTGTGTTTTGAGAACCTGAATAATAATAATATTATTATAAAAAATAAATATTTAGATGAAATCTGTTTCTATGGCAATGAACAGAACATGACACATATTTGTATATAGGTTTTATAAGCAATATTAAACATCAATTTACATTTTTTAAACAAATTTCTAGCCTAATGATGGAATCACAGCAATCCCATGTTGTGATCCATCTGGTTTTCACTGGTGTTTTTAATCCTCCTCCTTTTTTACAAGAGAATTAATAATATCTTCATGAAGCGCAGCACCTGCACAATAAGATTTTTTGAAAAAATTTATAATTTTTTTACACTTTGACAAAATGGTGTTGGAAAACTATATGGTGGGCTAAACAGTGTATTGATAAAATATTAGGATATTGTTGAGAGGTTAATCTTCTTGCCATTTGCATAGCTGCTTCACTAGTGATGGGAATTTTTAACCCTACACTTAATAACTCCAAGTTATTAATAGTTAATAACCACTTATTAACTGTTTCACTCTGAGTGAGTTATTAATCCAAAAGATCCATTTTGTCAATCAATCCCAGTGTATAGAATTCAGCATGTGGAATGTGCTGTGCTAACCAAATTCAGCAGATTTGGAAAAAATTTATCAAATTTGGTTAGCATGCACACTCTGCACACTGAATTTTATGCACAGTACTAAATTAATTATTAACTTGTTTATCAAATTAATATTTGATTAAACAGTTACCAATAAGAGATCTGCATGTTTGTGATTTTAACACTTAATAATAGAGTTATTAAGTACTTAATTAATAACTTGGTCATTTTTCAAAATAATTTTTACACCCATCACTATCTGAAACTACTGCCACAAATTTTTCTGGACCAATTGAAGTTAAAACTTTTTCGATTTCATCAGCATTGTAAATCCCAGTATGAAATTCACCTGATGCATCTACCAAAGAATGAATATATTGCTTTCTATTTGGAGTAATTATAACAAATGCATAAATTGATTTTCCTAAAGGATCGCACCATCCATCAATGGCTATAGTAGTAAATATAAATTAAATAAAGACATAAAGATGAATTAAATTAATACAATATTTAATAATTTATCAGATTTGATACCTAATGTTAAATTATCTTCATTTTTAAGCTCCTCATTAATTTTATTTAAGACTGATGAAATTTCTTTATTCAAAATGGTAGTTGAGAGTGTGGTTTTTTTTGGAGGATTATACCCAAAGCACAAACTTTTTGTAAAATCCACAAAGAAAGGATAGTTTACAGTTGAAAAAGAAATACCAACATATAAAAAATCGAACTAAAAAAACAATTGAATATACAAGTATGTTAATTGACAAACATATATTATATAATATAATTGTATAATATAATTGTATAATATAATTGTTTTTACCTAATGCTTGATTTATTCTCTCTCTCTTACCTGTGTCAACTTCTGCAGAAGAATCAAAATAATTGGTAATGGATGGCACTGCAGAACAATGTAAAGCTAGATGCCCTTTCAAAAGTTCAGGTTTCCCTCTAGTCCAAGCTTCTGCACAATAATGACATTTGGCAGAGAAGTGGCCAATCTCCTATTGTTTCTTTAAAAAATGCTCCAAACAACTCATTTTTTCCTTTTAATAATTGAAAAATATTTTGTTAAGAAAAAACTTATCACTTCTATAATATAACTATTTCTATAAATATTTATTATCACTCACTGTTGTTTAAAACCTACATTAGTATGTTAATGTTATGTTTAATTGAATTAATAAAAAAGACATTTAATATTATTAAAGGTTCATGGGAAAATTTTTCTATGTTGGTATTAGGTGTTTCAGTACTACTATGGTATATATTAGGATTTACAGCATTTATGATATTTACGGCATTACGACATTGTGGTATTATGGCATTACGGCATTACAGCATTATGGTTTTATGGTTTTACGGTTTTACAACTTTTATGACTTTGAGGTTTCATGTCAAAAATCATTTATGGCTTATACATAATGCCAAATTTGCCATAATTATGGAATTCCAACAACAAGTATAGTATGCAGACTAAAGCAAATTCAGCAGCAATAGTTGTGCCAAAGTGTTACCTACAAAGTCACTTATAACTACTTGGAAGGTTGTGTTAGAAAAATTTTGCTTTTAAATTATAAGGGACTGATTTATAGGGTTATTAATTTATTTAGAATTTTAAAATTACATATGGTGCAGATCATCTATAATCATTAATTGCTTATAGTAACAATTGGTCAACTTCAAAATACTAAAACAAAAAAA